TTAAATAATTTTTTCTACTTTTTTTTTTTTTTTTTGGTACCGGGGATCTAACTCGGGTCCTTGCACTTGCAAGGCAGGTGGCGGAACCACTGAGCTAAATCCCTGGCCCTGCTTAAATCATTTTTTGATGAAGGTAAAGCAAAAGAAATGATTTTTTAATAGTTAATATTATTTGTAGCCAATATTATTAATTATCTTTTAGAATTTTATGAATCATAGTATTTCTATGCTGAGCAAATGTCTAATTAGCCTCATTCATTCTTGATAAATTTGCCTGATCTAAGGCCAGTAACCTAAGAAGAATCAAGAATGTTTTATATATGATCCTTAAATAGTTCTTACTAGATTAAGAGAAATATATTAAGACTAACATAAGATTTAAAAAACAATATTAAAAAGTACTTTGGCCTTTTTTTTTTTTTTTTTTTGGTACGAGGGCTCGAACTCACAACCTTGAGCTTAGGAGGCTGGCGTGGTGCCACTGAGCTAAATCCCCAGTCCCTAATACTTTGGCTTTTGACTCTTGCCAGTTAGGATTGTTAATAGTTCAAAGAGCGTAAATCTTGTGTCTTGATGCCTTTGGGTTTGTAAGTAAATTCTTTTCTAAGATATAATCTCTAAATATAGACATGTGCAAATCTTACATGTATGGCTTGATGAATTTTCACAAAGTGAGTATACTCATGTAACCACCACCTGTATGAAACATAAGACATTACCAATACTGCAGAGGACTTTATACTCTTTTTTAGTCATTATCCCTTTTTTTCATAGGTAATGTCCTCCCTTCTGTCACTATTATGAATTTTGCCTCTGTATAGAAATGGAATGGTATATGTACTCTTATGTCTGTCTTCTTTTGCTTGACATTGTATTTGTGAGATTAATCTATACTGTTGCATATATTAGTACCTCTTGTTTCTGTATATCATTTCCTTGTATGAATATACCAGAATTTATCAATCAGTTTTTTTGTTTTGTTTTGTTTTGAGGCAGAGTCTCACTATGTAGTGCAGGCTGGCCTTGAATTTGCTATGTAGCCTAGGCTGGCCTTGAACTTGTGATCCTCCTGCCTCAGTCTCCTGAGTGCTGGGTTTACAGGTGTGCACCACCACACCCGGCTCAATCAGTTTTACAGTTATTAGACAATTGGGTTGTTTTGCTTTTGTTTATTACAATTATAACATTATTGTGCAAATAAATATTTTCTATTAACTACATACCTAAGAGGGGAACTGTGGTATATATAAGTATATTCAACTATGTAGATACTGCCAACATTTTCCAAAGTGATTGGACCGATTTATGTGCTCCTTCCTTTACCTCCCTTTCCCCCAATATAGACATACCTCATTTTATTGCACTTTGCATATGTTTTTTTTTTACAAATTGAAGGTTTGTGGCAACTGCATTAAAGTATATTGGTGCCGTTTTGTTCCAGTAGCTCAGATGATTGTTAGAATTTTTGAGCAATAAATTATTTTTAAATTTCAGACAGTGCTATTGCATACTTAATAGGTTACAGTATAGTGTACACTGAGAAACCAAAAAATTCGTGAGACTCTTATTGTAATATTTGCTTTATTGACATGGTCTATAGATAAACCCAGAAAATCTCCCAAGATATGCTGTATATGAAACATTTTCAGCACTTCTGTTAGCACTCAGTATTTTCAGTTTTTAAAAAGGATTGGACTGGGGCCGGGGATTTAGCTCAGTGGTTCCGCCGCCTGCCTCGCAAGCACAAGGACCTGAGTTCAATCCCTGGTACCAAAAAAAAGGATTTGACTTCCTCTTGCATGTATGACTCTCTCATTGAGTTATTTTTTCCTTTGTTGTTGTGCTGGGGAATTGAACCCAGGTTCCACCTTTATGTTGGTCTTGAGTCTTGAAAAACACTTAAGGTTATATTTCTTAAACCGTGTTATTGAGAATAGTCTACAAAAGCATGAATCTGTTAAGTCACAATAGGTTTTCTTATCAAAAGTATGTTTTCTCAAAAATGTTTATGTCTTTGTTAAAGTATTATAAACTGAATGTTAAAGAAGTATTTTTTTTTTGGTACGGGGGATCAAACTTGGGACCTTGCGCTTGCAAGGCAGGTGGCAGAACCACTGAGCTAAATCCCTGGCCCTTAAAGAAGTATTTTTTAAATATGTAGTATTTCATGTTTTAAGTTATGGTATGAAATACTTAGAAATAAATCTTATATCTTAGTTTTGGTTTTCTTTTAAAAAGATTGCCTTAGTGTAAGTTATTTATGTCAATTTTAATTACTTCTACAAGACTCTCCTGCAAAAAACACACTGGCTGCAAAGTTGTCTGCCAAGAAACAGGCATCCAAACACAGAGATGAAAATGATGATTTTCAGATAGAGAAGAAAAGAATTCGACCCTTAGAAACTGCGCAGCAGGTAAACAGAATATGTTAACTGAAGTAATGTAGATATAGTTCATCGTGGTAGTCCAGTACCAATCACGTTTTCTTTTGTTTTTTGTTTTTTGTTTTCCCGGTATCGGGGATCAAACTCGGGACCTTGCACTTGCAAGGCAGGCGCTGGAACCACTGAGCTAAATCTCTGGCCCTAAACTGTAGTTCTTTTCTTTTTCTTTTTTTTGGTACTGGGGACCGAACTCGGGACCTTGTGCTTTTGAGGATGGCGCCAGAACCACTGAGCTAAATCCCTGGCCCAGCCACATTTTCAGTGGCACTTGTGGAAATTTTTTTTAAAAAAAATTTTTTTTTTGGTACCGGGGATCAAACTCGGGACCTTGTGCTTGCAAGGCGGGCGCCGGAACCACTGAGCTAAATCCCCAGCCCCTATTGTGGAAATTACTTTGATTGTGTCACATCCATAAATTAAATGGTAGTTTATTATAAGCTCATTTTGTACAGTTGTTTATTATAAAGATATTTGTGAGTATAGCAGCTTACTTACTGTAACATATCATTAAAGCAAAATTACATGATGCTTTCATTTTATGCAGATTTGACAGCAAAATACTTAAGCCATATCTTGGTAATATAGCAACTTTGCCCTTTTTAAATGCCTCCATTCCATTGGTTTTTTTTGGTACCGGGGATCGAACTCGGGTCCTTGTACTTGTGAGGCAGGTAGCGGAATCACTGAGCTAAATCCCCCGCCCTCCATTCCATTGTTTTTATCTAATAATTTTTGATCAAAATAGCTTTGGTATGAATATTCACATTATGGATATTTTGGCATTGATAGTTTTAGTATAATGACAAGCTTTACTTTTACTGGGCTTTTGAGATTGATACTGCATGATAAAACATGTATATTTCTAAAATTTATTAGGAGACCTGAATTACCAGATAATTTTAATGAACTATACTTTTTACAGATGAAGAGAGTTTTTTTTTCTTCAGAATTCATGACAAAGAGGTACAGGGATTTTAATAGACTTAATTTTATAAATACAAAAGTATTAATTGGCCTGTAATCTTTTAATTGAACATGCTCAAAGTATTTGCTTGTTTGTTTTGTTTTGTTTTTGGAGGGTCTTGTCTGTAGCGCACAATGGCCTGGTACTTGCTGTGTAGCCCAGGCTGGCCTTGAACTTGGCAAGCCTCCTGAGGGTTGGTATGGGCATCCACGACCACACCTTGCATCAATAAGTGTTTGCATTCTTATGTAGTTTTTTTTTTTTTTTTTTGGTACCGGGGATCTAACTCGGGACCTTGTGGTTGTGAGGCAGGCAGTGGAACCACTGAGCTAGATCCCCGGCTCTTATGTAGTTTAATATGTGTTCCACTCATAGTTAATTAATTTCTATAAGTAAGCCTTGTTTTTAGAAATAGAATGTGGTATTTTTGCAAAAGCACAAATTGTAAATGAAGTGTGAATCTATAGAGATTCCCGCCTCCTAAAACTATGTACATACAGTTGGATGTTAGAAATTGCAAATTGTAAAACATTTATTCTTTGACTTTTATTTCTTTGATAGGAATAGAATTATCAATATGTATTTTTTTCCCTCCTGATTTAAGTCCTTTTTTTTCTTTTGGTACTGGGGATCAAACTCGGGACCTTTTGCTTGTGAGGCAGGTGGCGGAACCACTGAGCTAAATCCCTGGCCCCTGACTTAAGTCTTTAGCAAGTAGAAAAAAAGCAAAATCCAATTTGGAAGGAAAACTTAGTAATATTTATAAAAGAAATTTCATCAAGTATAATTTAGTTTCTCTACTAAGTAATAGTAATAATACTAGTCAAGTAATTTTATCATGTAGAAAATTATGACTATTTACATTTTAAAATTTTATTTTGAGTTCTCTTCCATGTAGAATGAGGTTTAAATATTGATTTTTCTTTATTTTTCCAATTAAATATGTGATTGAACTTTAATACTGTATTTGATGTCTATGGGAAGATTATTTTATAATACTATAATATTGATACATTACTAATTAAAGCTATTTTGGTTAGAATTCAACAAGTATTACTCATTTCCATTTAAGTGCTATGATGATTTACCTATTTGTGCTTTTAAAAATTATTTGATTATTGCCAGTTAGAAAAAAGTCTCTTTTTTTTAATGTAGAAAGAAACCCCACAGAGATATTTGACCTTTGAGATTACTAGTCTGTCAAATAATTTCAGTTTAAACCTCATCTTGGTTGTGTATTTACAGATTAGAAAGCGTCATTGTTTTGAAAAGGAAGTACCCCATTTGGATGCGCAAGATGCCTTGGAGGACACTCTGAAATTCAATTCCCCATTAGGAAAAATAAACTCCTTTTCTTCACAAAATGTATGTATTTATGCTATTGTTTAGTTGAAAGAAGAATTTTGCAAGAGTTGTGTATACCATTGTGAGCTTGGCAGGTGTTTAGTACTTACAGACTTTAATGGTGAGACTGCTGGTAATGTAGAATTTGACTTTGTTTCCTTTCTAATGTGCTGAGAATCAAACTGAAAGCCTTGTGCATTCTAGGCAAGTATTCTGCCACTGGGCTACATCCCCACCCCATAGTGTTACTTTTTGGTATTGCATAATAATGTGTTGACATCTGTAAGATCTGTATATGTGAGACTCAGTGAAATAAATGTTAGCTATAAATGACCAGTACATGATATGGGCCTTTTTCTGCCCTGTCCCCCATTCTCAGGCAATCACAGGTTTTGTGTTCAGATTTAATTGTACTTTGTTGATGATATTCATTGGAAGTCTTATAATTAGAGAAATCAACTAGAAACTTTTGGTATTAAATTGTCAATTATCATTGACAGTGATATAGCATCATTGTATGATAAAATATGCTACATATTTTGCTCTGCTAATATTTTCTCATTTTCTTTCATGGTACCTTCTTTTTTTTTTTAAGAGTAGGAAAAATTTATTGAGAGAAAGAAAGCTTCTGTCTAAGAGAGACAGAAGAGGGACCAGAAAGTGGGTTTCCCCTCATGGTACCTTATTTTCTTCATAGCTTTATGATTACTGAATGTACTTGTTTATGTGTTTGTTATGCATTTGCCCTTTCAGGATGTAATATCAGTCTTTTGCATGTATATTCCTGGTGCCTAGAAGACCATGTGGCACATATTAGTTGCTCAGTAAATATTTGTAGAATCTTTTTTTTTTTTGGTACCAGAGATCGAACTCGGGTCCTTGCACTTGCACACCAGGCAGCGAAACCACTGAGCTAAATCCCCAGCCCCTATTTGTAGAATCTTATTGAAGTCTTTTTTTTTTTTTGGTACCGGGGATCGAACTTGGTTCTTTGCGCTTGCGCAGCAGGTAGGGAAACCACTGAGCTAAATCCCCGGCCCTCTTATTGAAGTCTTACAATCACTATGAAATAGTTACCTGTTCCATTTTATAGATAAGGAAACTGAGAAGTAAGTAACTTGCCTAAGCCCATGAACCTGATAAATAGTAGAGCTAAATCCTACCTATGCAGTCAACAATGTTCTAGCAAATACTCTGATTACTTTGTTGTACATTCTCTCTAAAATACCTCTTAGAAGTTTGGAAGCTATTTAAACAGAGTTATACACGGAGATAAGGAAAGAAGTATATAGGAGCATAGGGATGAGGAAGTCAAGTATAAAATAAGCTGTGATTCTATTAGAGAAACATTTTTTTTTTTGCTATTGGGGATTGAACTCAGGACCTTGGCACTTGCAAGGCAGGCATAGTGCCACTTCGCTAAATCCTCAGCTGTCCCTTGGGATTTTTTTTTTTTTTTCATTTAATTTGTTTTTATTTTTTAAAGGGCTGGTGTCTCACTGTGTTTCCTAGGCTGGCCTTAAACTCTTGAACTCAAGTAGCCCTTGCACCTCAGCCTCCCAGGTAGCTGGAACTATAGTTGTATGACACCATGTCTGACTTGGTTTTTTTAGTTTGCTAAATGGGGTTAATAACAGTACCTATGTCACAGGGCTGTTATGAGGATTACAGTTAGCAAAGTTCTTAGAGTATAGCTACCATATTTAGAGATTAAGTAGTAAGTAGTAGAAGTAGTTGAAGCAACCAATACAGACTGAGAAGCCATTATAAAAAGTGCTTAGACATGAAGTGTTCTGGATTTTGGGTATTTCAGATTTTGAAATATTTTTAAATACATATGGGTTGAAGTATGCCTTACCTGAAATGCTTAGGACCAGAAATATTTCAGATGTTGGAGTTTTTTGGAGTTTGGAATATGTGCATTGACTTTATATGATGAGATATCTTATGGATGGGACCGAAGTTTGAACATGAAATTCATTTATGTTTCATAATACACTGTTTAGGGGCCAGGAATGTAGCTCAGTGATTCTGCCACCTGCTTTGCAAGTGCAAGGTCCTGAGTTCGATCCCCGGTACCGAAAAAAAAGCAAAACAAAAAAACCCCCTTAATACACTGTATACACATAATCTGAAGGTAATTTTGTACAATATTTTCAGTGTGTCTGCATTTTGACAGTGACTTGTCACATACAGTCAAGTGTGGAATTTTCCACTTTGACATCTTGTCAGGGCTCAAAATGTTTCAGATTTTGGATTAGAATATTTAATGTGTAGTCACATATTTATAGTTCTTGTCTTTAACTTCTGGTAATAAAAGTTATTATATTGATGAATAATAGTATATATTTGTAGTTCTTATCTTTAATTGCTGTGAAAAGGCATTATATATTTTATATACATATATATAATTTTTTTTTTTTTTTCCTTTTGGTAGTGCTGGAAATTCATCCCCAAGGCCTCATGCATGCTAAGCAAGTGCTCTGCCACTGAACTGTATCCCTAGCCCAATTAATGTAAATTTTGAGGAGTAGGTCTAAGGTAAAAAGGAATTAAGTAAAAAAATTCTTTTAATATCTTGTAAGGATGAAAGCATTTTAGTCCAGACCACTTGACTCTGAGTACCTGAATTAAGCCAAATGTTTTGATTGATTTCACCTTTTGGTTAGGTAGTATATTGACATTGTGGATTGTTAATATTATGGTCTTACCAATAAAATATAATTATATCTATACTTACATTTATTTCAGCTTTATTTTTAGATCAGAAATTATGCTTTCTTTTTTGGCTGTAGATGACATAATTTTCCATTTGTGTAGAAATGGAATGATATTTTTATAAATGGGTGATTGATTACTCCATAATGTTAAAGGTCTTGTTTTCTGTGTCTCACAAGTGAATATTTATTGAACACACTAAATTTCTCAATTAAATCTTATAACTCAAATGATAACATTTCACTAGTGTGACATAGAACTTCTGTTTGTAAGAAGACATAAGTGAGATGTGCCATACTAATAAAACACATAGAGTAAACCTCAGTGACATCAAAGCATGTTTGCAATGCAAAAAACATACGGTTGAGTTCTAGTATTTGTTCTTTTTTGAAGTTTGTAGTGAAAAACATGAATGTATAAAGTAATTTTATATACTTTCTGAATGGTTGGACAAACACATCCTATAAATTCTGGGGTAAGTGACCTACATTTTCCATTATTTTCTTCCTAATAAAAAAAATAGAATAAGTAGTTACAATAGAAATAGTCATTAGAAAATATCAGTGCATGTGAATGTCCCTTTTTTATTTTAGTAAATTATTAGTAAGCTTAAATATCTCATGGATGTTTAGCATTAAATAGTACACCTAGTTTTTCAGAGAAGTAGGACTAATCATCTCCATGAATATAAAAGAATAAAGGGGCTATAAGTAGAGCTTATTTAAGGAATGATATCTTGGGTGTCACAGAGGAGAATTTTTTTAGGAAACTGACCTTGGTTTCTGTTATAACATTTTTTAGTCCTTGCGAAGGGACATTATAAATTACAAAAGTATTTTCTATAGCCTTTGCAATAGGTGATTTCATAAGGAAGTAGAATATAGTAATTTCATACATACTAATTTCATGTTTTAATGACTGCACAGCATCTTTTAGGAATAATCTTTTTTTTATTTTAAGTACCGGGGATTGGACTTGGGTCCTTGTGCTTGCGCAGCAGGCGGCGAAACCACTGAGCTAAATCCCTGGCCCCAGAACAGCATCTTTTAAACTAATCAAATTTTTGCTGGGCATGGTGGCACATTCCTGTAATCCCAGCATTGGGGAGGCTGAGGCAGGAGGATTTCTGTGAGTTAGAAGCCAGCCTAGGCTACATAGTGAGTTCAAGGGCAGCCTGAACTACATAGCAAGACCTTGTCTCAAAAAAGAACCAAAAAAAGGGCCGGGGATTTAGCTCAGTGGCACTACTTCTTCGCAAGCGCGAGGTCCCAAGTTTGATCACTGGTGCCAGAAAAAAAAGTTATTTTTGGTAAAATACTTGAAAAATGCCACCTATATTTTAGAAATTTTCCTGTTGAAAGATCATATATGTCACTCATTTTATCATATTTTAATCTAGACTGTTTAAAGACTTTTTTTGACTCATACTCTTTTTTTTTTTTTTTTTGCGGTACCAGGGATCGAACTTAGGACATTGTGTTTGCGAGGCAGGCGCTGTGCCACTGAGCTAAATCCCTGGCCCTAAAGATTTTTTTATTACAATTATTTTAAGGGGTTTTTTTGGGGGGTCAGTTTTCCTTTTTGGTACTGGGAATCAAACTCAGGGCCTCGCATTTGCCAGGTAGGCGCTGCGCTGCTGAGCTATATCCCCGGCCCTTTTATTACCATTATTAACACATATTAGTTGTATAAATTATTGGGTTTCACTGTGACATTTCCATATGTGGATATATCATGATTTAATAACGTCTGCCTTTTCTTCTATCTTCTCTTTCCTTTCACCTTCCCTCCTCAATCTCTTTTCCTTCCTTAATAGTTTCTCTTTTACTTTCAGATTTTTTTTTCCCAGTTTCTACATGTGAGAGAAAATACGCAATACTTGCTTTTGTGCCTGGTTTATTTTGTTTAACATGATGCTGTCATTTCTATTTTCTTGCAAATGACATGATTTCATTTGTTATGGCTGAATAATAAACCACTGTTTATATGTACTGTTTTCTCTCCCTTCCCCTTCCCTTTCCCCCTCCCCCTCCCTCTCCCTCTCCCCTCCCCTCCCCTCCCTTTCCTTCTATCCTGGTTCTCTCTATGTAGTTCAGGCTGGCCTTGAACTCACTATGTAGCCCAGGCTACTCATGGCAATCCTCTTGTCGCGGCCTCCCGTGTGCTGGGACTACAGGCATGAACCACCATGCCCAGCCTGTACTCTGTACTGTACTTTTTAATGCATTCATTTGGCGATGGGCACCTTGGCTGATTCCATATCTTGGCTGTTGTAAATAGTGCCATAATAAACATGAATATAC